CACGCCGCAATCCCTTCTCCTCCATTCTCTTCTCGGGGTCTTGGGCACGCACGCACATGCACCCGGCGTGAGTTTTAAGGCACCGGGTCTGGGACGCGAACCGCAGTGGACTACATGGGAGTCCAGCAACATAGCTATTACGCTAACTGCTGGTCCCGGTCATTATTTCTTTAAAAAAAATAAAAAAAGAAAAGAAAAAAGAAAAATCTCTGTTTCCTTTTTTAAGAAATACTCCATATTCCTAATAGGACAAAAGTTCCTTAGGATTCCAGAGACACAAAAAGGCTTTTTAAGAAATACTCCATATTCCTAATAGGACAAAAGTTCAGAAAAAGGAGAGTCAGATACTTATTTCCTTTCTTAGTCCTTTGAAAAATAGATGAGCCATCTTTCTCTTCTGTCATTTAGTGCGAAAGGAATCTCATACATTTCTTTCTTTCTTTTTTTTTTTTTTTTCCCTAGAGATAGTGAGAAGTGACAGGCAATTCACATCTTTATACTCCATATTCCTAATAGGACAAAAGTTCAGAAAAAGGAGAGTCAGATACTTATTTCCTTTCTTAGTCCTTTGAAAAATAGATGAGCCATCTTTCTCTTCTGTCATTTAGTGCGAAAGGAATCTCATACATTTCTTTCTTTCTTTTTTTTTTTTTTTTCCCTAGAGATAGTGAGAAGTGACAGGCAATTCACATCTTTATTTGTCTGAAGAAAACATGCAGATGCAGACATGTGGCCCATTAAGTGACAGGGTCTACAGGATTTTGCTCTTTTCCTGAGCCTGGTATGAAGCCAAAACACCATTCCAGACTGTCAAATCAAGAGACAAAATTCTCGGCTGTAAGAGGCAGAGGGAGTCCGGGCACACTTGCTTGCTTAGCGTAGATATGCAATACACAAAGGGAGACAGCCGAGAGATGAGTCATGCAAATACATAGTAAATAAATATATTTCATTTCCATCTCAGTGGCTTTTGCTTTGTTTTCCTCTTCTCTATGCCAACGGCCTTGAAATGGAAGGAGGGGGAGGGAGGAGTGGGTTCTGGCTGGACACAACCTCAGCAAGGTACTGATCTTTCTGGCTCTGCTGTTCAGTTCTAGCTTTTTTTTTTTTTTTTTTTTTTTTAGGAAAAAAAAAAACTTACAGGTTCTCACATTAGAGGGGTTCTAGCTGAACCTCTCTCATTTCACAGATGGGCCATCTGAGAGGCAGCAAAGGGACTGGTAACCAAGTCACAGACTCAAGGAAGGGCATGTTGGTGTGGGGGTCCTCAAACAAAAAAAAAAACAACTAATGCATAGATAA